GGTTGGCTTTGGGTTCCTAATTCTCAGGGTTGGTTCGAGGTTAGGTCTTTTTTCAGGTGCCTTTCAGTTGATGCTCGGGGCCCCTTCCCTTGGAAGTCCGTTTGGCGTTCTAAGGCCCCCCTCAAAGTGGCCTTCTTTGCTTGGACTTCTGTTTTGGGAAAAAATTTAACTCAGGATAATTTGAGGAGGAGGAATCAGGTGGTGGTTAACCGTTGTTACTTGTGCTTGCGCGATGAGGAGACAGTTGATCATCTTTTGTTGCACTGCAGTATGGCCAGAGATTGCTGCGTTTTGATGTTTGGTTTGTTTGGAGTTCCCTGGGCTATGCCTTGTTCCACTAGAGGGTTGATTGAGGCTTGGAGAGGCTTCTCAGTTGGGGCTCTCATTCGTGATGCCTGGAGGGCTACTCCTCTTTGTATTTGGTGGTGCATTTGGCTGGAGAGAAATTGGAGATATTTTGATGGAAAGGAGAAGCCTGTCACTTTGCTTAAGTTCTCTATTATTTCCACTCTTTTTTGTTGGGTTTCAGGAAGAGATTATAGATCTTTAGAGGAGATTGTTTCTTTTTTGGCCTCTTTGAAGGCTTGAGGCTTTTTTTGGCCTTTGTGTCTCTTTGGGATCCGCTCCCCTTTTGAGCGATTTTTTATAAAATTTTTACTTATCAAAAAAAAAAAAAAAGTAATTGATACATATTGTTGTCTAGTACAAAAATTGCATATAGGACATAAGCAGGATGCTGGGAAGAGAAGACTGGAGATAAACCTAACCTTTCCTAATATTTTCCGCAAAGTAACTGCATTGAGGCTCGGACTTGCATTCTTGGCTTGTCAAGCGGCTTTACGATTGCACCAAGCAATGACCCATATCGTTGTGGATTAGTACAACAGGAAACTCACCTTTGAGAATAATCTTTAGTTCTTTGAAAGTAAGAAGCAAACCTTTCTCACAAGTTTCAGTTCCCCCTTGGGAGTATTGCTAAAAATAGCAATAATGGTTTGGGCTGCAATGGTTGATAATGAGGTTTCAAGTCTGAAGGCAGCAAGTTTCAAGTCTGAAGGCAGCAACTTTGTGAAAATAGTGTTGAATGCTAGGTTTAATCCTGTCTACCCATGGCACCATTGATAAACGGGACCAACACTTTATAAATGCCCTTTAAAAAGTTATGATGCTCCTTTTATGTGAGAGGAGAGGCATTAATCAACCTCAGATTTATCCACCCAGAGATGTATGACTCCAAAAGGCAGGAAAATGAACATTAACATCAAACAAGAAAAAGAAGAGAGATGGAAGCAGTAAAAGTGTAGTATTTTTTATATTAAAAATTTATTGATGCTAGTGCGGCTCAATCACTGGTTCCTTTGCAGTGCAAGAGAACTAACTTTATAAATTGAATGAGAACTCCAACATTTATTAAACACATTGTGAGACAGAGGGAAACTGAATAGTCAAGATGCATTTATGGAGAGAACAATCTGGATTTTATTTTATTTTTTGATAGAAAAAGAAGAAGATGAAATGATCTCATGTAGTTCGTGTAGTCTCCCAATAAATTAAAGAAACCAATTCCATTTTTGTTTATTTTCTGGTAACAAAGAAACCCAATGTAGTGACCCAAATATTTTGTATTAAAGTTTAATAAAATATTGGTATGCATATTCAACAAAGATTGTTCACCTACACATACAAGAAAACAAAGTTGCTTTTGGTGTTAAAATCCTTTAGAGCTCCTTATGATTAATTGATTACCATTCAATATTGTTGCGACTAGAGAGAGAGAGAGAGAGAGAGAGAGAACAGAGTGGATACATAATGTGTATTTCATACATATCAAACCCTAAGCCTACTACAGTGGCTTATATAGAGTACAGGTCTCAGCTAATTACACAATGACCCTACCAACTATATGTAATTACATAATGACCCAAAATATTCTAACACTCTCCCTCAAGCTGGAGAGTATATATCAAATAATCCCAGCTTGGAACAGATAGTCCTTAACCGATTATGACCCAATGCTTTGGTAAACGTATCAGCTAACTGATCTTCAGACTTCACAAATGGAGTAGAGATGCTCCCACTTAATATTTTTCCTCGAATGAAGTGACAATCAACTTCAATATGTTTGGTCCTCTCATGAAACACAGGATTTGATGCAATGTGAACAGCTGCTTGATTATCACAGAACAATGCAGTAGGAGTTTCAACTGTCAACCCAAGTTCTTTTAGAAAATGTTGTATCCAAGTCAACTCACTAGTTGTATACGCCATTGCCCTGTACTCAGCTTCAGCACTAGATCGAGCTACCACTGTTTGCTTTTTACTTTTCCATGTAACAAGATTTCCTCCTACAAATGTGCAGTAGCCTGTAGTAGATCGCCTGTCTAAAGGAGAACCAGCCCAGTCAGCATCTGAAAAACCCTGAGATGACCATTTGATTTATATAGTAACCCAAAACCTGGAGCTTGCTTGAGATATCGGATAATCCGAAGAACAACAACCCAATGTGGCATTCTAGGAGCTCCCATGAACTGACTTACAACACTAAGTGCATATGAAATATCAGGTTTCTTTAGGCTTATCCTTAACCAAATGAGAGCCAAAGCCTTTGGCTTTCAGAAAAATAGCTACGGACTTGGCCCATAAAATATAGTTCTTGCCATTGAGCTTGACAGAAGTCATGGGAGGATTGAAAGAAGTAAAAGAAAACAGGTCAGAACCGGCAGCAGCCATGGAGAAGGACAAACAGAGAAGAAAACCAAACCTGGGGAAAAAAAAGATTGAATCCGGATCTGGGCAGGCGGGCCGGATCTGGGCAAATGGGCCGGATCTGGGAAAACGGGCCGGATCTGGGCAAACGGGCCGGATCTGGGGCAACTGGGTTTGGATCTGGACAAACGGGCCAAATCAAAACCAGTTCTCTGCTATTCCGGTTTTAGTAATCCAAGGTTGGAATAACTTCACGCCTGCAGCCAAACACCACTCTTGTCCTTCACAATCAGCGCCGGCAAGAACCAGATCTATGCCACCGACCATAAACTCCAATCACCCAAGGTTCGTAATGAAGAATCAAGGCTAGTACACACCCTAGCCCATGCAACGGTGACCACGGCAACCCAACACAAGCGGCAATTTAACAACCAAGCAGAGAGGGTTTGCGATGATGCAACCTCTGCAACTTGCGACAGCCAAGGCAGCCTCGGCCTACAAAATGAAGGGCTTCAGATTTGAGAACGACAGACAAGAAGCTTCAAACCTCCGACAGCTTCAAACCTCCGGCTCGAACAGAACGACGGCCAAACCTGTCGCGAAGAACAGAATCAACTTCGATCTCGATTCTGATTTGTAGAAGAACACCACAGATGCAATCACAACCATAATCTTAGTTTTCCCATTGTTTCGTACTGCTCTGATACCATGTTGCGACTAGAGAGAGAGAGAGAGAGAGAGAACACAGTGGATACATAATGTGTATTTCATACATATCAAACCCTAAGCCTACTACAGTGGCTTATATAGAGTACAGGTCTCAGCTAATTACACAATGACCCTACCAACTATATGTAATTACATAATGACCCAAAATATTCTAACAAATATCACTGACCATCTAATTGTGTGATTGTAAATGCAAATTGAAGAAAACTATAGCAGTTAAATTTCTAAAATGCACTCTGACATTCTCACACTGCTTTTAATGTTCAATTTATCCTTTTATATGCATATGATAGGTTTTCTGAAAACTTATGGTGTTTATATAGAACATTGAATCACGGAAGGATTGGGTTTTAAAAGTGTTTTGAGTTTTATTTTGAAATTGCCTTCCCATAGGTTTCTGTTAATTTAGACTCAGGGCTGATCAATTGAACTCGATTAATCCTTCTATCAATCAAATTTGTTGTCCTAGTTCAATCAGAATTTGAGTTTCCAAAACAGGTTTATGCATTTTAAAACATACTTTTAAGAATCAAAATATGTAATTTAGAAACCTAACATGTTAGATGAATTAGGTTAATTTATATGAACCCTAATTTTGCGAGAGCATAATTTGAGAGTCAAGTTTAACTTTGTGACCTTGTTGAAGTTTTGAAGTTACCGATTCACCCTTAGACAAAGGTCACTGAACTGACTAACTTATATAACTTTTAGAACATAAACAAGGCTAGAGTTAAGCATACAAATTCTAGTTTTATACAAAATTTGCCAATAAAATACATATTGTTCAAGATTTTAACTGGTTAATGAAATGAGCTTATGAAAGAGAGAACAAATCTGTAAGAAGGGAAAAACAGAGAGCTAGATCAATCTAGAGAATAGCTTAAACACCCACAACTCAATCCCAAAAGAAAGGGAGTGGTACAAAGCTGCTATAGCAGGCTGAATAAATTGATAATACCAAAAAGCTACTGAATTCAACTTGGAACACTCTTTTAGAAGCCACAAGGGATGCCCTAGCAAAGATTCAATCCTAACCCTTCATATAAATACAATCTAAGAGCTACTATTCTGTCTAGCAGAATAAAGATGCTAAAAAAGACCACAGTCCTTAAATGGTCACACGACTCACTTAAAAGGCACATGATTTGCAAAATAGAACCAGAATGACAAAAATTATCCTAACTAGAGCTTAAGGCAAACATTAAACAGGAAATAAAGGCAGATTTAAGACTTAAATAAATGACTTAAAACCATTAACAATCACGCAATCTGATCACATCATCATCTGCCCCAATTAATTCAATCTCAGTCTCTCTTCTTAGGATGGTCAACTGTTTGAAGAATGTCCTCTTCCACTTGCTCTGCATCACTGGTAAATCTTATTTTGTTGCTTTATGTTTCATATTATAGTCTGATGCAATTTTATTTTGATAATCAATTGTATTATGTTTCACAATTTGATGTATTTATGCTCTACAGCTATTAACATCTTCTTCTACGATTAATTTTTCTTAATTGAGCCTTGCAATTTTTTTTAATAGTTGTTATCATCTTTCACACTTTAGGTGTTACTTACAAAAGCGTGTCCTCAATATCTCGAGAGGCCCTGCTGTTAGGGCATTGCGTGCACAAACTGATAAGAGGGAATATGCTATGCAAATGAGAAGTATTGTGGAAAGGCAAGTTTATATACTTAACTTTTCTAAATAAAGTAATAACTTGAATTGATTTTTTCAAAGTGAAGAAAAAGAAAAAGTCAATGCAAGTTATTAGCATTATAAACTTCTGCCGTATCATAACTTGTATTGATTTTTTTTTTTTTTAAAAGTAAATATGTCTACATTTAACCCTTCAATCCTGATTTTGCAATGCTATATTTAGGTCTAAAGGTTAACTAATTGCTGATCGTGGTCCTACGCATTTAGGTCTATCCATTATGTCTTGGGAATGTGCTAACCATAATGATTGTTTATGTAATCCAAGCAGGATTGCATGGATTATTGATATGATCTTTTTTCTCGTCGAGCATTGTCAAATGAATTCAACGCTTGTTCTAGTTTTAGAAAAGAATTCTGTTACCTGCTTTCATTTTTCCAGTTTATAACTTTCTGAATTTCAGTAACTTCTGGAATTATCTATTATCGACACACGAACTTAAAAATAATAATGAAAGAACTTTTAAGGTAATCTATGTGGCAATTGGAAAACAGTTACTTTCCTTCCCTCCTCTCCCCCCACTTTTTTACTTTTTTATTATTATTTTAACACTGTATGGCCTTGCGGGAAAACCCTTTTTGCACTTTTAGTTGGTTTGAGATCTATGGGGTTCCACTTTTCCTTACTCTCCCCTCCTCTCTTTTTCCCCCTTTGAAATTTTGGGCTCCGTACGTTGGCTTACAGGAATATGTTGGGGTGAGGCCATGAGGTTTATTGTTGGAGATAAGACTAAGAGTTGAGGAGTGAGTTCCTAAACCTTATTTGGTGAATTTGGAATGACAGGAATACGAGAAAGAAGAAGAAAATAAAAAGGTTGAGCTTTCAATTTTCAGTTGAAAACTATTAAATTTACCAAATCTTTTTGTTTGGGTATATTTTGAGGGGGTACCTTATTTGGTGAATTCAGAAGGACAGAAATATTAGAAAGAAAAATAAAAAAATGGTTGAGCTTTCAATTTTCAGTTGAAAACTACTACGCTTACCAAATCTATATGTTTGGGTATTTTTTGAGGGGGGCAAAGTCACTTTATGCTGATTTTTTAAGTTTTATCTTCTTCTTCTTTTCCCCTTTTCAGTTTAATTTCCTTGTTTTTCATTAGAAACCGAATAAAGAAAAAAAGAAAGAAAAGAAACCGAATAAAGAAAAGAAAAAAAGTTTTTTTTTAAATTTTTTGCATTATCTTCTAACTAGCAGATTTCTATTTTCAGCACGTCAAACCTCTCCATTAGAGAGGCAATGGTGACGGATATTTTATGTGGAAACAATGACAATGTGGAAGGTGTTTGCACATTCTTCGGGATGAACTTTTATGCACCTTCAGTTATTCTCACAACGGGCACCTTTATGAGTGGGAAAATTTGGGTTGGTAAAACTTCTATGCCAGCAGGAAGAGCCGGTGAGTCAGCGTCACACGGTCTTACTGAAAACTTGCAGCAGCTTGGATTTGAAATTGACCGATTAAAAACTGGCACTCCTGCGCGTGTGGACTGTCGCACCGTAGATTTCTCTAGATTGGAGCCCCAACATGGAGATAAAGAGGTCCTTCCATTTAATCTTATAAGTAGCTTTAGAAGATTTAATTACCAAATGATGCAATTATTATATCATGCTTTATGATTTGCCACTCCAGAGAGATTGAGTTCACGGTATACATGTCATCAATCAGTACCAGCAAATTTATTTATTTATTTATTTTTTCCTGAATGAGGTAATTTTATAAATTAAAAAAAATGTAAAGTACAAGAGATAGAAAGAGAGGATACCTTCCATTACAAATCTGAAATGGAAAATGCCCAGTTCTAATAAAGGCCGAACAAAACCATGAAAACCTTACTGAGCAATGTTAAAAAACAGCTAGCAAGTCAGAAAGATTTAAGGAGAAGAAGTGAAGCACTTCCCAAACAATTGCATTGGCAGCAGCAGAAGCATTATCTTTAATCCCATAATGGAGAGAAGCATTTCTTTCCATCCATATCTTCCAAATATAGCACGAAAATACACCTTGAAGATGTTAGACTTGTAACCTTGCCCCTGAGATTGTCGAGTAAACCAATCCACAAGATGATACACAGATTGAAATCTCAATCATTGAATGTGCAGCATATCAGATGCAGCTTGCCACACCTCCTTAGCATAAGAGCATGTACAAAACAGGTGATCATTTGAATCCTCATCCTTGAAACGATTATGACAAACCGCAGGACCATAGAAACCTCTCTTTTTCAAGTTGACAGAAGAGAGATTCTTGTTGTGCATAATGATGGAGACAATAACTGCCACTCTAGGTCTACAAAATTTCCAGTAAAGGGCAGGCCAACTAAGAGCAATCTTCCTAGCTCCAATTTGCCACTCCACAAAAATTGTTTGAATTTCTTCTCTAGCCTGGTTACGCAGTCCCATGGTATTGAATCCAAACACCCAGTGATAAAGAAAAGAGTGCAGGACAGCTCTTAGCACCAGCAATTTAGGCAAAGGTGCAAGTCAATTGGCTATGTAGGTAGACATATTGCCTATTTATTTGCTTGGCATGTTCAATGATGCCTTGTGGATTTAATTGTCAAAAAAAAAAAAAAAAAAAAAAAAAAAATGATGCCTTGTGGATTTAGCAAATTAACTTCTATCTCTCACAGAATTCAAGGTCCTGACAAAATGTTCTAAATTTGAACCTGAATACTAAATGAAACTACTAGGAAATATACACTATGTCCTTTCTTTTAGCAGTGAAAGATAATCCATCTAATTTGAGAATTGTGTTCTGAATGCAAGTTCATGATAAACAGGTTGGTTGGTTTAGCTTCGATCCTGATTACCATGTTGAAAGAGAACAGATGTGCTGCTACCTTACACGTACCACAAAGAGCACTCACCAGCTAATTAAAGAGAACTTGCATGAAACTCCCACTTATGGCGGATGGGTTGAAGCTAAAGGACCCAGATACTGCCCTTCAATTGAAGACAAGGTATGTTATTGTTTTCAATTGTAGTCTTATTCTTAATTTTTGATTGAAGCTTCACTCAAATTAATTTCATAAATAGGCATTTTCTCCAGAGCCTGATGGTATGGTATGGGATGCAATATTTATACTTCTCCTTTTAGTGTGTGTGTTTGTGCATGTGCCGGCACACGCATGCGTGTACTTATTGTTGAGTTTTTTGGGATTTTACGCATCTCCTTTTAGTTATAATATATGTGCTTGTGTGTATTTTTGTTTTTGTATGTTTCTGTATTGGATTGTGGGGGGATTTTTACAGCTATAAGAGAGTTCACTGTCTTTATTTAGGCTCATGAACTTTCGGAATTGGAAAGGGAACAGTTCACATGGGTTAACACTAAGGAATCACCTGTGATGTCAAGGATCATTAGATTCTTGGTTTCATGGGAGTGGTAGGAAATTATTTTCCCATGTTTCCCAATCATCTCTTCATGGATCAGCTTTGGACTATATACTGATTGTCCTCGATAGGGAGGATTAGATACGGGTAGGGCCCCTTTAGACTAGAGAATCTGTGGCTTAAGAGGAGGCTTTTGTGGACAGAGCTTGGGTAGTGGTGGAAGGGATATATGTTTAAAGCGGCCTCAAGCTTTGTAATAGCTAGGAAACTCAAGATTCGTAAAACAATTTGAGGAGGTGAAATGTAGAATAATTTAAAGAACTTTGAGGTTAGGAGAGCCAGTTGACGAGGTGAATTGTAGAATAATTTAAAGAACTTTGAGTTTAGAATAATTTAAACTCAAGAATCATGTTAAATGCTCTTGGTGTAGTGATGACATGGTATCACACACTAATTAAAGACGGACACCATGTCACTTTGTTAATATTTAATTAGTGTGTGATACCATGTCATCACTACACCAGGAGCATTTAAGTTTTTCTTGTTTTTTGGAGCAGCTTTATCTACAGGAGTTTGATGGTGGAGGTCCGGATTCTCTTGTTTGGGTGCCTTCTCCTCGGGGAAAATTTGATGTGATTTCTTTGTTTCGATGCCTTTCTGATCTTCCAGGGCATGCATTCCCGTGGAAGGCGGTATGGTGCTCTAAGGCCCCTCTCAAGGTGGCCTTTTTTTTTTGCATGAACTGTGGTTTGGGGAAAGATTCCAACACTTGATAAACCTGATGTCACGACCCAAAACCCGAGTAAACTGAGGTTTATAGCGTACAATGGGTGCACATCAGCTACAAGTGGAGAACAAAACCGAGGAACAAAGGCTACTGGAATGAAGATATAATTGACTCTACGCACTACAACAATGGACTGTCCTATTCTCAGTTCTCTTATTATGCCCATAATAGCCTGCATTTCAACATATAATTCCACACACAACCCATCACAGGACACAAGTCAATCACATAGGAAACATGCCTTATAATATCTGATACAAATCCAACCCCAACTACCTCAAGATAATCGAACAACATGTACATGGCATTTCAGCAAACATTTTAAGTACACAAAACAGGACCATTTCCAAAAAAATCAAGTCTAGCAACTCCAGAGTTCTCCAATGGCTCCTTGGTACCTGAAAATGATAGGGTGAGCTAACATCCCAGTAGGAATAGACCATAACAGGAGCTTCAAAGAGGTTTAAAGGCACATGGAAGTAAGTTTCACAGAAAATATTTAACATTTGTCTAATAAAACATATATATACAAAAGACATAATTGTTTCTCAACAAAAAATGGAACAAGGGCCTCAAGAAAGGATGGCATTTCATCAAACATTTTAAGTACACAAAACAGGACCATCTCCAATAAAATCAAGTCTAGCAACTACAGAGTTCTCCAATGGCTCCTTGGTACCTGAAAATGATAGGTGAGCTAACATCCCAGTAGGAATAGACCATAACAGGAGCTTCAAAGAGGTTTAAAGGCACATGGAAGTAAGTTTCACAGATAATATTTAACATTTGTATAATAAAACATATATATACAAAAGACATAATTGTTTCTCAACAAAAATGGAACAAGGGCCTCAAGAAAGGATGAACAACAACATGAGTTGATGATCAATTTGGGCAAAACACATGTAGCGCAATTTAAAACAGATACTTTTATGGCTCAACCAAGGAATTTAGGAATTAAACCACTCTAAGCAACTCAAGCTATAGAGAACCCTATCCATGGATGACAAAATGAAGATGAAGAAGATTTGATGATGAATTGTACAATTAAGCCTCTATTCCTCTTATTCCTTTCCTTTCCTTCTTCTTTCTCTCACTAAACCCCCACTGCTGGAGCTCTATTGCGTTCCCCTTTGCTGTTTTCTTTCCTGTCTTGGTTCACGTGTTCATCTAATAGAAGAGAAGGCAGCAACAAGTGAAATAGCTGTGAACAAAACGTGTCCTATGGTGGCATGAGGGAAACAGGTGTGAAAAGGCTGCCACTTGGATCCCACCCGCCAACTTTCGCGAAATTCCAAAACTCTCCCTGACTAACAAGTTTAATCACACTAATGGCCCAATAAAAGCAGTTAACTCACTAAGCACAATTAAATGTCACTAAGCACTATTTAAAGTCACTAAGTGTAATTAAAAGTCACCAATCATGGTTAAAAGTCCCCAATCATGATTAAAAGTCACCAAGCACAACTAAGAATCACTAAGCACGATTAAAAGACCTAATAAAATCCTAAGATATCACATCCTCCTCCCCTTAAATAAATTTCGTCCACAAAATTTAGAACTGAACTTGTTTCGTACACATATGGCCCTTGCCTCTACCATCCCCAGGCGATGTGAGATAGCGTGACCTGTAAGCCGTTGCGGTAGCTAGCCAGTGCCAGTCACCTGCCTACACACTTTGTAAACGTTGTGGTAGCAAGCCAATGTCCGCCACCTGCTACTCAGTATAATCCCTTGCGGTAGCTAGCCAATGCACGTCCTCCGCCCACGCAGACCCGTCTACAATTGGTAGCTAGCCAGTGCTATTCACTCACCCACTCACACCCGTCTACATCGTCACTACCACCACATTTCCGGCTGGGTAACAGCTCTGATACCTCTTTTGTCAAGACCCAAAACCATAGGCAGTGAATAAAATAGGTCTAAAGTGTACAATGGGTGCAACAGCTACAAGTGGAAACAAAACTGAGGGACAAAGGCTACTGGAATGCGGATATAATTGACTCTACGCACTACAACAGTTGACCGTCCTATTCTCAGTTCTCTTGTTATGCCCATAACTGCCTGCATTCCAACATATAATTCCACATACAACCCACCGCAGAACACAAGTCAATTACATAGGAAACATGCGTTATAATATCTGGTACAAATCCAACCCCAACTATCTCAAGATACTCAACCAACACGTGCATGGCATTTCATCAAACACTTTAAGTGCACAAAACAGGACCATCTCCAAACAAATCAAGTCTAGCAACTCCAGAGTTCTCCAATGGCTCCTTGGTACCTGAAATGTTAGGGTGAGCTAACATTGCAGTAGGAATAGACCATAACAGGAGCTTCAAAGAGGTTTAAAGGCACAAGGAAGCAAGTTTCACTGAAAATATTTAACATTTGTATACTAAAACACATATATACAAAGGACATAATTGTTTCTCAACAAAAATGGAACAAGGGTCTCAAGTAAGGATGAACAATAACATGAGTTGATTATCAATTTGGGCAAAACACATGTAGCAATTTAAAACAGATACTTTCATGGCTCAACCAAGGAATTTAGGAATAAAACCACTCCAAGCAACTCAAGCTATAAAACCCTACCCGTGGATGACAAAATGAAGATGAAGAAGATTTGATGATGAATTGTACAATTCAGCCCCTATTCCTCTTCTTCCTTTCCTTCCTTCTTTCTCTCACTAAACCCTCACTGATGGAGCTCTCTTGCTTTCCCCTCTGCTGTTTTCCTTTCTGTCTTGGTTCAAGTGTTTTCATGAAATAGAAGAGAAAGCAGCAACATGTGTGATAGCTAGGAACAAAACATGTCCTGTGGTGGCATGAGGGAAACAAGTGTCAACTAAGTTATTAAAGACTGCCACTTGGATCCACCAGCCAACTTTCACAAAATTCCAAAACTCTTCCTTACAAGTTTAATCACATTGATGCCCCAATAAAAGCAATTAACTCACTAAGCACGATTAAATGTCACTAATCATGATTAAAAGTCACTAAGCATGGTTAAAAGACCTAATAAGATCTTGTTGGGGCAGCGGAAATGTAGGAACACAAAGATCTAATTAAAGCCAACAAAGCAATCACACACAAACACAAGATATACATGGTTCAGCGGAAACCGGCTTACTTCCATGGATGAGAAGAGATTCCACTATGATTCGTAGAGATATTACAACAATAGAGTACCAACACCACGTACATGTTTTTTCACCATGTACCACTCCACGAGCCTATCTCCTTGCTACCAGCGTCATCGGTATTTTTCCTACTCTACCAACCCGCATACTACCTCTACCCATCAACTCCCTCATGAGACTACATCTCTCAATCTCATAAGCCTCAACCTAAAGCCTATGTATCTATTTATAGAGTTCCAAACCCAATTCCTTGTTGGACAAGGATTACGATTTCTTAGATGCCAAAACTTGCCAAACTAGAAATTACCAAAGAGAATACAACTTCTTAAATAGAAATATAATTAGAATAGGAATTTGAGACACAAATTCTAATAGATCCTAAGATTTCACACCTGAGGAGGATAAGATAGATCTAATTGGTGCTGCATGTGTAAGTGCAATGGAGAGTCTGTTGATCATCTTCTTTTGCATTGTCCTGAGGCTCACAATTGTTGGAGTCTTTTGTTTGGTCTCTTTGGAGTTCAGTGGGTCATCAGTCATGCCTAGGTCCGCGAGAGGCTTGATTGATATGTGGGAGGGTGCTATGTGGGATCCCACACCCGTGACTTTTGGAGGGTGGCACCCTTATGCCTTTGGTGGTGCACTTGGAGGGAGAGGAACGAAAGATCCTTTGAAGGAGAGGAATCTT